TATAAACATTTTTATTTATTTATTTTTTATCCCGTTGGGAGGAGCGGTTGCGGGCAGGTCCGTGTCTGGTGTCTACTGTCGCATTGGGGTGGCTTTTCTGCTTGCCGTTCTTTTTCCGGGGGGGATTGGCATGTCTGTTCTCTCGGAGGGCAGCCCCGTTGGGAGGGGGTCCTGCTGGCGGCATGCCGCTGGTGTGTGGGGGTCTGGGTGGCTCCGTCAGGTTTGGTGTTGGGGGGCTTGTGTGGATGGGCTGGCTGCGCTGATTGGGTTTTCGGGTGAGTTTTCCCGTTTGGAGGCATGGTGGAGCTGCTTTGGTCCCGCTGATCGCGGAGGGTGTGGCTGCGGGGCGGGTGGGGGCTGGAGTGGCTCCGGCCGGCGCGCATCGGGGGGCCAGGGCGGCGGAGGTGCTTGACCGCGTGTTGTTGGCTTGTGCAAGCGGCGAGGGGGGGCGGCGGATGCGGCCGTGCTGCTCTGGCTTCGCCCGGTGGTGGAGCGGCGTGGTTCGCTCCGCTCTGGCTCTGTGCTGCCCGCGGGCTGCTGGGGGCAGGGCGGTTGCGCCGGCTACAGTCTGCTCTTCTGGCGGTCGGGCGCCGGGCGGCTTTTCTGCTCTTGGGTCAGTTCTGTGCGCGGTGTGTTGCGTTGCGTGCTGTTGGCGTCTGTCTTGGTAGGGTGGGGCCGCGCTTTTGGCCTGGGGGGCGTTTTGGGGGGGTTCGGCGGCGCTTGCGTCCAGTTAGCGGCGGATGCGCGTGGGCCCCGGCTGTGGGCGCGGCCGCCTGTGTGTTTTTCAAGGGTGGTGCGGTTGCGATGGGTGTTGCGGCCGGTCGCCGGGGCTTGGTGCCGGGGGGCGGGGCGTGTTTCGGCGCTCTGTGGGGCCGGGGCGTTTCGGTCGGTGCCGTGGTGTTCTTTGCCCGGCCCTACTTCAGGGTGGCCGGCTGCCGGCGGAGCCCGCGGACTCACCTTGGCGGCTCCCCAGGGCGCCGGCATGGCGGTGGCTGGGGGGCTTCTTGGGGGC